ATGTCATAATTATTTTAAAGTATTGAATATAAGCAAAAATATACATATACAAATAAGGTAATAATACTATTTTATTAGTATAGGTAAAGATGGCGCATGAACAAAAATTACAATTGAAAGTACAGTTTTGAATTCCTTTCCGAAATACTAATACTTGAAAAAATCTATCAAATAAACATCACAACATATATGTTATTAAGTAATTAAAGGTAATTAATGCCTCAACCAGAATATAAAGGCCCATTATGTTAAGTGAAATAACAATTATTGAATAGAGTTATCTAGCGCAAACCGCCATTCGATTATTCACAGCACAAAGCTCACGTTTGTAATTTGACAGTTGACAGCTGCGTTAATGACAATATCATTGGTCTAATTTAAACTTTGACAACTTAGTACACTAGATTGTAACTTGCCAACTTGAACTATAAATACATTTTAATATTATATTGTTTATAATATTTTTCTATCATTTAAAAATTTACTATCTATTTCCGATTTTTATGACTATGTTATGCGTATAAATAATTTGTATTCAACATACTTTGAATGCGACCCATTAACTATTAGCCATGCATTGCTACCATTACACCTCCGTATCCGTCTATACCTAACATATCTATTTAAATAGAAATCAAAAGTCAAATGCAGACTTTAAAAATATACGAGCAAGATTTAGCGTTTCCATTTGTCTTCAGTCTGAGTCTCCACTCCTAATGACCCACACACTAAAACAAGATGCACCCAACACCACACAACACCACACCGCAACATTGTCGACCCCATTTGAATACCAAGTCACGTTCGTCAAATAAGCAGCACTAACAAGCGCTGTATCGCTTGCACTGATTGTTAATTGATTAGATTAAAAATTTTGGCCCAATTCCCCGCCCATTGTTGGGGGTTGAATAATTACACATTTTATTAGCGCCGGTGTCTTTTACAATTTGACAGTTTTAATTCGATTATATTTAAATAAGCTTAGGGATTGCGAACTTTTTGCGTTTATCTGTAAAAAATATTATTTTAGATGCGTACAGCTTTAATTTATTTTTTCTAAATTGGTAGTAGATACATAGATCTAACAGGAAGACACAAGTGCGTATTTACTTTATGAATTTATAAAAGGTGAAATGTCCTAGCCATATAACATCTTAACAAGACGCGCTGTCGACTTTTCGCTTTGGATATTCGGAATTGGACATTCGATATTCCTATATTTTATTTAGGATTATACATTAACAATACAACATTGGTATGGATATAAATAATATTTCATTATGATAAATCTATTATTATATATTATTAATTGCTTAGGTACAGCAATTAATAATATATAATAACAGATTTATCACATAAAAATGAAAATAAATGTAAATTTAATAACCAGTTTAATATAAGTTTTATAAATCTTAAAACGTTAGTCAAAAGCGTTTGCTAATAACCAACGAACCAACACATCAATTTTGATACTATAAACGGTGTCTTGTTTTTATTTTTATAGATAGCAAGATGTCCCTACGCCGCGTAGCAATGCTACGGCGTAAATTGTATCTAAAAACAATAAAATAAATAACAATTGTAGCGCACTTATAATTCTTGGCAATATCTTCATTAGTATAAATCATTGCATTAATGAGGTACATCTCGTTGCTTATATAATTTTAATGTTGACAATTATCCTTTTCATGTTATAAAGAATTGTTATTTAAACATACGTTGAGTAGAATATATGTTTAACATTTGCATCGAACAATGTGTGGCTTATAACAAGAACATAATAAAAGTAACGGCCTTCTTGGTGCAATGGTAGCATTATGTGGCGTATAAACAGGTCGTGGGTTCGTTCTCCACATAATCCAACATGTTACGAAACAGTTTATGATTTTTCCGAAACATGCTAGATTTCGTCTGGAAATCTGGAAAATAATGGATGGTAAGTTTATCAAATTACCGTCAAGGTCTCGAGCCACCGTTCACAGGTGAATAAGCCGTGAAGTATAATCGCTTTGGGTTTCAGTCTGTGGATTTCCGAATATCCAGAGACAAAATAGGAAGGCAGCCCATCTTTTTCAGATTCTATAGACTGGGATGTTTCACGTACCATCAAGTGTTCTCCTCTATCATTAAAACAAAAAGTTATCTGATTGATTAGGTATTCGTACACTAACTTTTTATTTTTTGACTTCTTACGAAGTTACAATAGTTTTTTTCCCCAATTTGAGAAATTACCCATCTCTAACAGCAAGGTGTGTTGCGAATACATCATTGCGACATTTACTCACAATCGAAGTACTTTTTCAAGTATCCCTTTATTGCGTACGTGAGCACGGTGGAAATTCCAAATTTTCCACCAAAGAAATTGCGACAATTCTGACAACCCCAAATGTTTTATGTCGCATATTCGCTCCGACATAACAGGACACAATAACTCTCTTATAAGTTTTTTAAACGTACACACGTTACATAACCAACACATAAATAGTAAATTATAAAAAAAAATGTTTATGCGTTTAGTCATGCTAAAATATCGTGTAACGTAACAATAAGCAAACAATTCTAACACTTAAATTTCGCGTTTTAAACGATTATAAAAAATATAAACTACTTAAGTTGATTAATATATTTCATGTTTACACCGTTAAAAGTGTTTCTTTTTAGTGTGTACGACTCGCGTAAACTATGGCCACAGTGAGGTCAACACTATTTTCTTGCTATAGAAAAAAAATGCGTATTTGGATAATTTGAATGCTGGTCATAAAACAACAATATATCTTTGAGATTTTAAACAAGACACTTGCTTAAAGTTACCACTGAGCTACAAAGTAACTTTAAAGGAACAAAGCAACGTAACAATTTAACGCACGTAACATACGGTAACAGACGGCCAGATAACCCACCCCACGATGTTTTATTGGCGTATATTTTTAAAGCTATAGGTGGGTTTGAAAATTGAGTTAAAATGACAGTGGCATACGTAGTGATTCGCTCCGTGGTCGCATTAAACGCATTAGGGGCTAAAATTGGATTTAGTGTGGGGCGGTCTGTTAGTACACTTGTTATGAATTTGCCGTGTCGCTTAAAGGCTCCTGAGTTTTTGAAGCCTTTGTAGTATTTTATATGCATTCTTTTTTAACAACGTAAAACATATATTTAACATTTTTTTTTATTCATTGAAGTTTAAATTGTATAAAAATCTATATGGAGTCCTAGATTCGAGGTCTATCCATGCCATCGATGGGTTTTACGGTTGTGGAGTAGGGTTTTACGAAGATCCTTTTGACATAAATTCTCGTGCATCTCGGGCATGATCAAATCATGAAAGCAAAAAACCAAAGAAGAATTTTAAAAAGAAAAATATAACATTATTATAGTTAAATACATATATTAATATTTTTTTATATAATTCCTAAAATAATTAATTCCTTCATTGTACGTGTACTATTGATAGTCTTCCAAAAACGCACCCCTAACTACTGTCAACAAGACTTCGTTTCTAATTTAATAAGCCCATCGCGTTCCTTAAAAAAGTCCGAATAAAGATGCATGTGTCACGTTTGTTCCGCGCAAATGTTGACTCTATCAGATGGCTAAGGTAATTTATTTATTTGAAGTATTGCGGTAAATCAGTCCCCGTGGCGTCTTTATTTGCGTACACGCTTCGATAAGCCACACTGATTTACCCTTAGAAGATACTATGTTTTTGTCAAACAAAGCCATTGTAAAACTTATACTTGCTCGGTCACCATATATTAACACAAACTAAATACATTTCTAAAGTAATTTTAAATGGGGTAGTAAAAGAAACCAATCAACAGTATCTGCAGTTTATATTTAAAAAAAAAGAGAAAGCCGTGAAGTTTAATCACGTTCTTTTTCGCATGTTCGTATTTCCGAATATCCAAAGCCAAAGTGGATTGACAGCACATCTTTAGATGTTATATGGCTGGGTTATTTCACCTTCATGAAGTGGACTTCATGCTTGTATGTCCTCTTTTATCATAACTAAATTATCTAGAATTCGGTTATAAAATTTGGTTACATCTTGAATTACATTTTTAAAAATCACCCTAAAATATATTTTTATAAATCATACGTTCGATAAAGAAGTAATTTTAATGTTACAAAATTTATTTTTTATCTGTATTATAGTTATTTTGCTGTCCGTACCGGAGCGCTATAACGCGGTTAGCGCCGACAATGAGTTGACGAAGGCAAATCTGATTTGCGAACCCTCCTCCGTTATTTTAAAGGCACTCACTCGTTTTGCATAGCTCTGCTGGGGCTGGGGTCGGCCAACGGGCTATTTGTTCCCACAATATGCTATCATTATGGGTTTTCTTGTCTTTTAATATATTTTTATTACTTTAATATTTTCAAATTGTATTTATAGAAGTAGTGTGATAACATTTTAATCAAACTTTTTTACTTTTAAATTATAGAAGACAACGGTGAACTAGATGGCTTTAAAATTAAAAATCGATTTTAGATTGAAAAAAAAAATTACGACACGAGCAGTCTAACCAATTGAGCTACCGAGTCCTTCAAGTCGTTGTCGCATTTTTAAATGTGATACATGCACCTCTCCGCGCAATGTAATTTTAATCTATATACCGCCAAGATGTGCTATGTGAAATTAGATGGTAATATTTTATTCCTTTTTTTTCGATAGAGGAGGATAGACATACCCTAGCCATTTAACATGTAAGCAAGATGCGTTGTCATGTCAACCTTTTTTGGCTTTGGATGTTCGGAAATCCACAGACTGAAACCAAAATAATTTGACGGGTATTTTATCTGTGTGTTCGTGTGTATCTGTGTGTTCGTGACTCCGGAATTTCGATATTCCTTTCTTATAACTCTACTTTAAGTTACGTGTGTACTAAGGAGCAACCTAACCTAATTTAAATTATTGTCCACAAATCATGAAAAACTAAGAGGAATATTTTAAGGTTTTAATATTAATAAAATATATGTGATTGGTATTAAAATTAACATACCTTTCAAAGTTTTACTAGTTGGTGGCGTATCCCTGCTCCACGGCGGATCCCCATGTCCCGAGAAATCCCGGAGCTTGAGGTAGCTGATGGTAAGCCTGATGATAGACGCCTTATCCAGTTGGCTGGTGATGGCAGCTGGTAATGGCAACATCTTCGCCAACTCGTAGAACTCATAATTCTCTTTGCCACGGCGGGATCTCGCTGCATCTCTGCTCTTCTCTTTTCGTAGTTCAAGAATACTGTGGGAGAAAGAGATTGTGAGATTTTTTCTTCTTCTAACAAAAATAAATTACTAAGCTCGATTTGTATCTCCTTACTTGTGTGCGCATTATAATTATCACTAAATGTCAAGATTCCTGGAAACACTTTAATGAATATTTTTCAACTATGTGATTAATAAATAAAGATCGAATATTTTATTTCTTTAAAGCTATATTAAACCAAATTTACTTGACACTTAATGTTCGCGCCACAATAGTTAACAGTTATCTGTCTAAAGTATTATATTAGTATTATAAAAAATGTTATCTGTCAAATGGCAACCACAGATAAGACAACAACATGGCGCAGTATTTTATACACAGATAATATTTATAATTACAGATGACAAAATTACATGTTAACAATAATATTCGCTTATTTAAGTTAAACATCTTCTTTTACAGTTTTTATAATGATAACTATTAAATGCGTAAGTACATTTTTTTTCGTATACTAATATGTTATCTGTGTAAATATGTTAATAAGGTATAAAAACCTGTTATATTCTGTTTGTGGGTGTTACCTGAGCTGCGCCCGCCCTACGCCCAACGCTAATTGCCTTTGTTTTAACGACTAAATTTGCATTTCATACGATTTGAATATGTGGTTTAATGTTACATGAGTTTTTTGTATGATTACGAATGTTATGTGTGTTTGAAATTTAGGTGTATGTGAAAAATGTACAAAATTATTACCTAATATAATATAAGTATATCAAATTGTTTAACATTTGGTTTTATTGGGTTTAGTTTCGTAGTGCCATTTTCTGACGTTTACAATCTGGGGTTTACTTCTGGTTGTTAAAAAAATTACGTAGGTAGTTTATATAAAACGCTGTCTTCAAAGTAAAACAGCCTAATATCTTTACGACATTCAAATCCTAAATTTTCTATAAAATTTATTTTTTATCAAAATTTAATAAGTTTTCAGATATTTCATACACTAGAATTTTCTTAAGGTCTTCTATAATTAATTGTTATCTGTGAAAATCTTCGATAATCATTTATGTGAAATTTCTTGAACCAATTTGAAATAAGAGGCCTCCCGCCTCAGCATTAACAGGCAGGGGTAGTAAACCTTTGGTGCCGCGTAAGCGATCCTCTGATGGGTTTAGTTTACGATCGAGTCCGATTACAGGCTCCCGAGAGTGTTTGTTTTATTGTCACCTGAGTAAGGTCATTTCGTAGGAGCCTGTTTCTGCGTAAAAAATGGCACAATAGAAGACTTTAAGAAACACTATTAACGGTTTTAAACGCGAAATGTATTAGCTACATTTATTTACAGTTTATTTTAACTACGGCCCGGGGATTAGTACTTACTTTGCTGTCACTGTGGTTACGGGGGGCAGCCAGTCGGTTCACGTGAAACGTTAAAAGTATACCCTAATCATAAAACATCTAAACAAGATGCGCTGTCGGCCCATTTAGCCTTTGCATATTCGGAGTGTGTATTAAATAAAACTGATTTGACCAAGCTTGAACCTTTAATTGACTGCCCCCCAATCCCAATACGTTTTAAACACTATCATGCTCTATCGTTCTTTAAGTCCCATACAATAAACGTAACAACAGCTTAGGGAATAATAAGTCTTAAAAATAAAGAAAACCGTTTAACGATAAGATCGAAATTTCCGATAACCCGGTTAAAGTATAAAACAAGCGGCTATTTCGCTTGATTTAATGTTCCTCGAGGGTCAGTGTGGGACGGGGGTATTAAATTGTTTAAAATAACTTTAGACTGACCGAGGGTTGACCGCCCCTGGCTATTGTATTATTTTATCTTGAGTAAATCTGGTTTTGGACTTTAAAATCTATAGACTGTATTTCCTAATATCTAGATTTAATCTATATCCAGTTTGTTTAACTATGGGATTTTTTTGCTTAAATGACTATCTGTTTTCATGTTATTTATCCCTGAAATTACTTCTCCGATTATTATATATATTTTATGATAGAGCAAGACAGGCAAGAACTGTGTTTACTTGGTGGTTAGTGAAATACTGCGACTTATCTAAACAAGATGCGTTATCGACTTATATTGGTTTTGAATTATGATATAAAAGAGACTTTAATAAAAACATTTATTATTCAAATTTAATATTTTCTTCTTAGCTTAAATTCAAAAAACGAACGCATATATCTGTCAAGTTAAATACAAGTAGAACTCAGCGCTGACTTGAACAATTTTCATCAATTTTATGACGCACCTCCCTTCATCTTAGAAGTGTCCTAACACGAACGTGTCCCGCCGTACACCTGGGAATCGAACCCACAATGGCACTTTGACCCTCAAGATCCATCACCATGCTAAAATACACCTTATTTATATACAAATAGAACACACACTTGGTATCGAATATCTCTTGGTCATCGATGATTGGTGGCGATTTATTATAAAAAGGTCGTAAGTCCACTGAATCTTCGAGCGATTTCCGACCGTGTCGCAAGGAAGAATTGCAAATTGAAATAATGGGAAGCCGTGGAAACGAAGTCGTAAAAAGCTGTCCACTACGCAACGGTGTCGCAGTTTCGGTTAATATGACCGGGACAAATTGAGTTGGACCGGGCAAGAAAATTAGTTGTCCCCCGGGACCCGGGTATGACGGATGGGATGCATGCGGCCCATTACTGAGATGTATTTAGTTTCTTGTTCCTTCTGATCGCATTAATTGATTGGTATGCTTGATTTGATCTAACGTTATTCGGGAAGAAACTCCCTTATATAAGATTACGATTTTACAACTAAACGTCTACCCCCATTGCCCTCATTAGCTCAAACAATACATATATTGAAAACTATAATTAACAATAAATTAAATATTTTATTACTATTTGAAGGCATTATAACCAGATAAGATTAAAATAAAAATCTATTTAGAATAAAAGAAAATAATAATATGCATCGGACTTGATTCACCGTACGTTACACATTTACTAATCACGGTTTAAAACCAGAAATTTGTTACTTATAGGTATCTATGACCATGGGAACTTACAAAAAAATAAGACAGGTAATTTATTTCGCGTTTTAAACCGTCAATGTCTTTAAAATGTAGAAAGTAAACATTGTTACCGTTACAATGTGCCGTGCATAATAAGTAGGTCAATTAATATGAAAATTTTAAATATTATTAATATGAGAACATCAAAACTGCAACAAACCGATCTAAACGCGAATATTATTATCTAATCTTGACACCCTAACGATTCTTTTAAATCCGCGTTTTCTAATACGCCAAATAACACTTCAATACAATTGTACGGAACAGTAGCACAGATTAAAAATACTATTAGATGTTCCTCGTTTAAATCGCCACCTTTGGGGGCCTATGAAAGACCGACACCTCAGATTAACCCTTCAATTACAGGGATTATATTCGTAAAAGATCGCTCATGGGAATTTACGAGCGTTTTCTCCTTGAATTGTTGAGGCCAAACATTAGTTATTGTCGTTATTCAATAGATATCGATTGTGGGTTTTATGGGAAGCAAGTTAATGTCTGTAGTAGTCGATATTGAAAAAAACTAATGTATAGACTATGGACCACCCGAATTAAAAATTTTGTTAGGAAATTTGTGATAGAATTATTTCTAAATTACTGGCCGTTTAACAAAAAAGAATTGACAAATTAAAAAAAAACACGCTTTGTATTAGTGTAGTAGAGTAGGTACGCCTGTGCCTTTGAAGAAATACTACCTGAATTAAGCAAATAAAATAAATATCAATAAAAGTGTTATTTGTAATAATGAAATCTGATGGGTATTTTAAAAAATATGAAGTTAAATCTATTAAGTACATTTTGTACTTTAGTACATTCTGTGAATCTCTATAATTTATGTTACTATGATATTTAGTACTGAACGGGGCAATTATGCACAAAAGAATGTACTTATGTCGTCAGAGAATTTTAAATATGACGTGTTGTATTGTCACTTTCAAGTGGTTATGTCTCTATTAACTACTTGAGTGCGGTAGGGGTTATGAAATATAATAATTTAGGGCTATAAGTACCCATTGTGTCGAATCAAGATGTCTTTGCACCTTTGCGATCTATAAAAATACGTCTTCATTTATTTCTTTCCATAGAGGAAGTCCTGTGTGCTCTACTAGTAACTAGTAGATTCCCTTTGAATGTTTGTATGAACGTCAAATCTCTAAAACCGCAGTAAAATGTTTGATTCGCTTCAGTATAAAATTGTAAATATTTTCCTTTTGTGTCCCGTTTATACAGACAATATTGGTCTTAGTGTTAAAAGTGACCGCATGTTTCCCTCTATGGGATGTTCTGTGTCTGTTTTTCAATCGCTCCATTGACTTCTATGCCCTGTACGATCGAAACTTATTGCTAGGCAACGTGTTAAACATTTAAGCTTATAAGCAGTATCGGCATTGTAGAGACTAAGTACATATTAGTTATATCGCACGAAGTATTGGAGAAGTTTTAATAAACCAATTGAAAAATTATACAGTAAAAAATAGGTGGCGAAAGCCACACATCTACCAGTTTCGACAAAAAATACATGGCGTCATAGCAGATGCAAAAATGTATCCGTCTAAGTAATGCCCCTTTAAATACTGTCTATAGTTTACGCGAGTAGTACACATTTAAATAAAACACTTTAACGGTTTAAAACGCGATATATTAGTTAAACTTATTTGAAAATGATTTTTAACTTCGGCCCGACGTTTCGGATGCTTTGCAGCAGCCGTGGTCACGGGGAGACTCTCCCCGTGACCACGGCTGCTTAGTTTAACTAATATATCGCGTTTTAAACCGTTAAAGTGTTTTATTTAAATAATGCCCCTTTGCTAACTTTACGAAATACGGAAGTAAGGTACATCTTCGTAACAAAGTGTAAGTTTTCAAAGAGAAATTCACACCCCATACACTTAAAGGTCTGCTAGTTTTAAAAGTGCGGACATTTGAGCCCTTGAGTTAAGTCAACCGTTCCCTCCCGGGGGTCTTACAGACCCGGGA